GCTAAAAAACTGTGAGCTAGCTCACACTCACTCAGCTTAGAGGGAACACTGCTCACAGGGTGTCTTTTGTGGGGAGGGGAAGGAAAAGGAGTTTGCAAGCCGCTCTGAGACACCTTCGGGTAGTGAAGGGCGGGGTATAAATCCAATCTCCTCCTCCTCCTCTTCTTCTGGTCAAGCCCAGATCCGAGAACACCTGATTACAAAGTCTCTGACATGGGGTCCGTGCTTCAAGGTGCAGCCTCAAGCAGCTCACCCAAAGGACGCGGGCGGCTACTGGCAGAGCTGGGAGCAGGGGCCTTAGACTAGGAGTAGCCCGAGGGCTCTGGGTTGGGGCTCCTCTCCCACCCCCCTTCCAGGTAAAAAAAATGGAAGGGTGGGTTGGGAGAGAATGGGCCTCCAGGCTTTGGTGCAAAGAACTGCCCTCCAGCCACACCGCAGGCTCCAAGGGCCGTAGGAAACAACCTCCAGACTCATATCCCTCAGATATTTGGCGACTATTAGCCACATTTTCAAAGAAGCCATGGTGCCTAGCAGTGTTCCCTCTAAGCTGAGTTAGTGTGAGCTAGCTCACAGTTTTTTTAGCCTCCGGTTCACAACATTTTTGTCTTGGCTCAGGACAGATGGCTCCAGAGCACACTAATTCATGCAGTAGCCAAATCGCTCACAACTTTAATGCCAGTCGCTCGCAAAGCAGAGTTTTTGCTCACAAGGCTCCACAGCTTCGAGGGAGCATTGGTGCCTAGCTGAAGTCTGTAACAATCCTATTCCGTGGTCCCTCCTGCGCCACTGAGCTTTACTTCCCCAGGGATCTGCCACACACCACACTTGGGAAACATTTCCAGACTTTACACTACTGCGCCATGAGCACACAGTGCCTGCCAACCTCGCCTGTGGTCGACTTCGGCTCTTCCCTCTTGAAATATTTTCTCAGAGCCCAGAGAGCGACCCTCCTCCTTGTCTGCAGAGAAGGGTAGCCTCTTGGAAGGGTTTTCACAACCCGGAGAACTGCAAATGGTGGGATGAGTCATTTCAGCCTGTGAGAGAGGTCTTGGGCTGGGCGCTTCCCCACCCACCCACTGAAGCATGCAAGCCAGTGGTCTCCTCAGCTGTACTCCAACTAGAGAAGCACATTCGCCTCTTGCCCCTCTCCTGAGCCGACAAGACGGCCTTTCTGCATTGCCTGCGGGCTGTTTGTTTTGCATTTGGTCTGGCCTGGGAATTCCAGAGCCTCCCCCCCCCCAGGGTTTTGACCCAAGAAAGAACTCGAGTAAAGATTCCATGAGTCAGATTTTCCATACTGCGGAAAACAATGGAAGAAGCGCTCTGTTTCCCCCTTTCTACCTCCTTTCCCCCACAAACATTAGCGAATCAATTCTACACTCCTAAAAGCAGGCACCGATTCCTTCTTACCTTCCTGAAACGAAAA